TTGGTGGGCTTCCTTGACCCTCCCTGGGGAGGGGTCGCCTTTTGGTGGACTTTTTCGGAGGTGGAGTTTGGACTGAGGCGACTCCCATGGGAGGGAACTTGGAATAGAGATTTCTGTCCAAGATTCCAAAATTGGATGCCAGGGGGCTGGGGTGAAGCCCCTGACTAAATTTTCCAGACTCTGTATAAAGGGGTGCCAGGGAGCTGAGCTGATGCTTCCAACCACTAGATCTATTAATATTTGTCCATATTGTGCATGCAAGAGTACTTAGTGGCAGTGTTTTAGAAATATTGACAGAGACCTAAAATATGTGGTTTACTCAAGAGTCAACAGGGACTTCATAAGACCAAAGCAAGTTTATAGGGGAACAGTAGATGGTGGGCCTAGAAAGGTCATAGTGAATTGTGCTAAGTAACATGACTCTACCCTAAGTGCTTTGGAAAGATCCAGAATGTTTCAAGAGCTCGGTGTGGTGCAGAGGCACATAAAAGAGAGAAGAGAAGAAAGAAATATTCTGGGAGGCATGTATGACCAGGATCCCTCCTAGGGAATCTTGGGCCTGCACCAGGGCTGATTCATTATCTCATCCTCCTGACTACATGTAATTGGGCTAACATCTCTAATTCTTACTCTCAAAACCTTAAAGAATGTTCATACACCTCTTACTGACTAGTGAAGGGCTTGCCAGGAAAACAAGTTAGGCTTTGTTTGTTTTGTTTTTTGCCTTCCCCTTTCCTTTTTTTGTCCCCTGCAAGAAAGAGTTGATACTTTCCTTGTCTCTGTAACCAAATACATGACAAAAAAAAGTATATTAATGGAGGGATGGTTTAATTGTGCCTTATAGTTTGAGAGTAATCCAATCCATCATAGCAGGGAAGGTATGTCAGGGAACACTAGGCAGCTCTGTAGCCACAGGAGGCATCAGCAGCTGACTGCATAGTATTGGCAGATGAGAAATAGAAATAGGTGTTTGCTGATGCTCAGTCAGCTTCCTCCTTTTTACCCTTTGACTCAGTCGGGAGCCCTGGTACACAGGATGGTGCTACCACATTCAGAGTGCATCCTACCTCAGTCCAACCTCTCTAGAAATGCCCTCCAAGGCATACCCAGAGGTATGTCTCAGGTAATTTGAAATCCATTCAAGATGGTAGTAAAGATTGGCTCTTAACAAAGAGAACAGTAATTATTGCCTTAATTTATTTTCTGACCCCAATTCAGGAGTCTTGTCAGCTCTGGGACCTATACGATCCATTCATCCATTCATCCATGTGCCCATTCATCCACTGTCCAACTTGCTATTCATCCAGGAAGTCCTCCATACATTCTTCTCTACACTACCATCATTTTGTGCATTCTATGATTGTGTCCTTTGATCATCTCTCTCCTCTCATCCAAATAGCCACCATGGTCCATCTATACATCCAAACATTCATTCATCCAACTACAAGGTATTGAGTACCAATTTGGTAGGAAGCACTATTAAACTCTTGAGTTATAAAGTTGTAATATTTTCCCATAAGGATCTTGTTATTGAGAAAACAGACAAACAAAGTAATATTTAAAGCACAATATATAAAGTGTCCAATGCAGAATGTCATGGGAACATATAGAAAGAAAGCCATCTCAAATAGAAAAAAAACAAAGATCAGGAGAGGTACCTGTCAAGGATTTAAAAGGTTGAGTGGGTGCCATCCAGAGAAGAAACAGGAGGAAAGTGTTTCAGACAAAGGGAAGGGCATGTTGGGAACCTGAAAGGATGTAGTTATCCAAGGGTACCTCGTAGCTTAGTGAGACCAAAGGAAATGTGTAAGGAGAATGAAAGCACAGCAGGTGATGAGCCTTGAAAGATCACTGTGGACTGTGCTAACGACCATGACTGTATCCTGAGAGTTTTAGAAAGAAGATGGGTGTTTTGGGGGTTCAGCATAAATCTGGGACATGAAAAGAGGAGACAAGAAATATTTTAAAAGGTATGTGCAAATACAGTAAAAAGAGAATACTTCATTCCAATTCTAGTTCCGTCTTCCCTAGCACCACCACCACTAGCAACCACATGTCTGCCCTACTCACATTGATTCTCTCCAGTTCTGAGGAAGTATGGCCCTGCTGATCTGCCCTATTTGCAGCCAGCCTTACCTCAATCATGCCTTTGATCTCCATTCAAAAGAAAGAGTACAAAGATGCCTGGATTTTATGTTGTTGTTTTGTTTTGTTTTCCAAACTCCAGAATAGTGGCATTTTAATGAATGAAGAGCAGAGCACATTTTCACCAACACTCTTCTAGTCTGTGAAGTAGGCAGTTGATACTGTGAGATACACATTTCCCCTTTGCAGCACTAAATGTCACACCATTTTGACTGGGAGAGAACCTGTCTGTTTTCCTTCAAATTCATTATGAAATCCCTTCGGCCATCACTGAATTTGCAGATCACCTACAACGACACGTTGTCATCTCATCAAGCCTCCTCGGAAAATGAAAACAGAGAAAAAGAACAATAACCATGGCCCCACAGAGTAGGAAGTCTCTCTCCCCTCAACTCTACCAATTGGCTGAAGAAATTCCTAGGAGCTGCCTCCTTTTATGAGTAATTGTCTGTGATTCTTCAGAGAAAACACATGGAAACAAGATGGAAATGGGGGTAAGAATAGAATAAGTTTTCAGGACTTGACAGTTCTGGCCTTTAATAATATTATTGACCTGCTCCCATGAGCTAACTCATAAAATGGACTATAAAGGAATAAACAATTGCAACATTGTGAGGGCTGCAAACTCTGCAGGCTTGATGTTACTTCTTCCAAGTCCTGGTCAAATATCTTTGGAAACATTATATAGCCATCCCATGCCTCTGGGTCCTCATCTGCACAATTTGTAATGATAACAACATCATAGGTATATTGAAAGGATTATGGTGATGTGGAATTCCCCTCTGTATGCTGTGAATGCCATCGGTTAAAAAAGAAACTGCTTGAGTCTGTGGTAGGATAGAATAGAGCTAGGCAGGGAAAACCAAGCTGAATGCTGGGGGGAAAAAAAGATGGAGTCAGGGAGAAGCCATGAGGCTTCTCCAGAGGAGAAAGACACAAGCTGCCAGCAGGAACCTTGTCGGTAGGCCATGAGCCTCGTGGTAAAATATAAAATAATAAAATGGGTTAATTTAATATGTAAGAATTAGCTAGGAATACTCTAGAGTCATTGGCCAAGCACTGTTTCAAATAATATAGTTTCTGTGTGGTTATTTTGGGGGTCTAGGTGACCGGGAAATGAATGAGCAGCCTCCTACAACAGATTATGTGTTAGGGATGTGATTTAGTGGTAGAGCCTAGTATGTTTGATACCCTGGGTGTAATACAAAAAGATTAAATGAATTAATACACATAGTTTAGGAAAGAAGATGACATATTTAAAGGCTTCATAAATTTAAGTTACTGTTTCTCATTGGAAATTCTAAGTTCCAGGACCTTTGTGGTGTTGGAACTTCATGAGCAGGAGAAACCAATGAAAGCAGGACTGTCTCTGGGCCCTGAGCCCTTTCTAATCCTTCTTAGAGGGAAAAGTGGTTCTCTGCAGTTGTCTTCAAACTTCCATTGGGATGATACTTTTCAAGTTCTTCTTCTTCAATATCCCTGTGGCAAGATTCTTAAACAGAACCTCTTGGGCCTGCATCCATTGCTGTTTGCATTGTTATACTGCAGGAGCAGCTTGCTGGCAGCTCTTTCCCAACTATAAGAGACTGGCGCTCTAATACAGAAGGGACTCAGAAACCTGGGATCTCCCGCTATTCTTTCTTGACCTTGACCTTTTGTCTTTTAAACTTTTTCTGTGGTTTGCCTTCCTATCAAAATACTAAGAATGAACTGATAGTGTGGTTCAGTTGTAGCACATTTCGGTGGCAAACGCAAGGTCCTGAGATTCCTCCCCAGCATGGCAATTAACAAGCAATCAGTGGAAAACTTGTAATCTCTTTAAACAACAGTGAATTATATGAGTAAGAAAATAAAACAATATACAGTTTTGGATTCATTGAAATGCTAATTCATTGAAAATATGCTAGCTAAAACTCATTACCAATGACTTCACGATAGTGCTTAATAACAAGAATGGAAAACACCCTTTTAAGTTCAATATTTGATATAGTCTGACTTTCACTTGCAATATGACCTTCAGCTAATAATAATGAACTCAAACTTTTTCTGAGTAACTTTTTCAGACATAAATCAAAAGCAGATTCAACATTCTTCCCTAATGGAAATGTCAGCGCACAGCTGGAGAGATGACTCTGCTAGAAAGTGTAACCATGGAGCCTAGAAAACCAGCAGATGACAAGAGGCCAGTGCCTCTCCCCTGAGGAGGGTTCAAAGCTGACTGCGCCACAGTGCACTGTCACACATCTGCTGGAGCCAGATGGCTTCAGACTTAATGGACATGAAGCTGCCATGGATGCCTGAAATTTGCTTGGTGCTGATGGCTTAAATCAATGTCGATGGGGCTCCTTGGTGTTGGATATGGTGGTGAAGTGGTCTCTCAAGTTCAGGCCCAAGAGCCTTTTGAAGAACTGTATTTCCAGAACCCAGGCATTGGTCAAAGAATGGGTGGTTTGGACAAGCAGAGTAGGTAAAGGATAGATTGGTGCTTTATACCTCTGACTGTCAACATTGTATTCCATTTTGAGCAAGATACTTAGACTCTATCAGCCTCAATTTCTACATGTGTAAGGTGAGAGTGGGGCATGAAAAGAAACAGAAGTGTAAAGCTATTGTCTTTAAATGGGGTTGAAGTTCAAAGAGCCATAGTTGTCCCTTCTGTACACTGGGGGAAGAGGGTAGTTTTTGTGTGACCTCTTTTGACATCACATGTACACTTCTGAGCTTGGCCAAAACCAGATAATCCTCTTGGAAAAGGAGTGTGAAACACATCAAAGGGAAAGAAATGTTCCGACAGGTTGCTGCCCTGTCTCCCTGGCTCACCTCTGCCTCACAGACTTATCCTATGCTTCCCACAGCTTTGACAACTTGATGACTTCCCTCCTGAGACTGCCTCCTCAGGACTTGCCTTCTTATGCTGCAAATTACTCAGATGATTCGAAAACCTGGCGCCCTGTGGAGGTCTCTCGGTTGGTCAGCAAGTACCAAAGCGAGATCTCTGACAGGAGAATATGTGCCTCTGCATCAGCTCCGAAAACCTGCAGCATTGAGCGCATCCTGCGAAAAACAGGGAGGTTCCAGAAATGGCTGCAGGCCAAGCGACTCACACCTGACCTAGTGCAGGTGAGTGTGGGCCTTAGTAGAATGAGGGGTGGCAGGAGATATCCATTCATAGCTCACAGCTCAGTAGTTCTCAACCTGTGGACTGCGACCCTTTTGGGAATTGAATGGCCCTTTCACAGGAATCACCTAAGGAATCAGAAAATCCAGATATTTATATTATGATTCATACAGTAGCAAAATTACAGTTATGAAGTAGCAATGAAAATAAAAATAATGTTATAGTTGGGGAATCACCACACATGGAAGCATGTGCCCATAATCTCAGTACTCAGCCAGCAAAGGCAGGAGGACCATGACACAAGGTGGAGTCCAGTAGACGAGCAGCATGGGCCTAGTCCCACTGCCTGGCTAGCTTATGCCCAAAATAACTACACAGACACTGTATTCATTGAAATACTGCCTGACCCATTATCTATAGCCTCTTATTGACTAACTCTCACATCTTGCTTTAACCCATATCTAATAATCTGTGTAGAACCATGAGGCCATAGCTTACCGGGGAAGATTCAACATGTCTGACTCTGGCAACTTCATGGCAGCTCTCTCTGACTCTGCCTTCTTCCTCCCAGAATTCTGTTCTGTCTACTCCACCCAGCCAAGGGCTGCCATATCAAAAAGGCCAAGGCAGCTTCTATTCAACCAATAAAATCAACACAAATACAGAAGGACCTCCTACACCACTCGTGTGTGTGTGTGCACGCACACACACACACACACACACACACACACACACCATGCTCTGTCCCTTTAACAAACCTGACTGGTACATGGGGAGACTGTTTTGAAAGCAGGCATCAGGAAGAGTGCAGGGTTGGTCTCAAAGCCACCATCTGACACTGGACAAAGCTGAGCTTCCCAAGGTTGTCCTTCTGCCCTACCTTCTTGTTCACAAGTCCATCCCGAGGTACACAGTCCCTCAAGGCAAGAATATTTCCATCTGGAAACTGGGAAACAGCAAAAGAAGGAACTTCCTAGTGTAGAAGATAAATTCTAAAGTCTGTGGGGATCTCTACTACCACCACACCCACAGGCGAGCAATTCTGTTGCAGGGAAGCAAAGCAGTAGTTTGGTTCAGCATGACTAAGTAGCCAGTGTTGGTTCAAACTTCGGTAATATGAACACAAATAGTTTTTCAGGCATTTGAAGGGTTTTTTTTTGAGTTTTTAAACACAGCAAAATTTGGTAAATAACTTCCTGTTGATAAATAACTCAATCCCGTGTGCACAAGAAAATTTAAAACATGACTACATTGATAATACTCTTTGTAAAGTACATGTGACATCTCCCAGAAAGACAGATCTGATTCATTGACGAGCTCATATCTTGGCCACACAGATAGTACAAAATCATCAGTCATCTCTGCTCCCACTCTTATGGGTGAAAAACGGGTTCTGTGTAACCCTATAACATTCCTGGTTCCCCTAGGGCTTATCTGTGAGCACAACAACCACCATACCTCCCACAAAAGACATTATAATGTGGCTAGATGAGTCTTAGGCTCTAGACAAATGTGGTTCTCAGACTCCCTAATGCTGAGACCCTTTAATACAGTTCCTCATATTGTGGTGGCCTCCAACCATAAAAGTATTTTGCTACTATTATGAATAATAATGTACATAACCGATATGTGACCCCAGTGGGGTCACAACCCACAGGTTGAGAACCACTGCTCTAGACTCAGGTAAAGTCTTTTCCCTTTGAGTTCTAGACACTTCCATATTAACAATAGATGTGAGTTATCCCTTGGGTCTTGACAAGTTCAGAGCACCCTTCTGATACATCTAGGATCACCTGTGTTCATGTATGTAGACATCAAGGTATAGGCCAGAGCTCCATGGAATTTAAAAACTGTGCTTGAATCTAGGATCTCCCACTAAAAGTTGTGGCAGAATGAGAAGAAACAGAGTCCCAAGAAGAACTGGGTGCTTCTGGTTCTTATTCGAACATTCAACAAGTTCAACAACTGTGCTTCAGCTGTGGATTTGGAGATGAATCACACACAACCTCCTGCCCTAGTCTTTTGGCTCAGTGGTGGAGACAGATAAGACCACTTTTACTACCAACTCTTTCATGTTGCGATGACAGTCTCTATGGGGACAAGAACCAGAGTACTGATTTAAGTCTTTTATTCACTGACCAATGGCCTTGAATTTAAGCCTTAGACTTACCCTACTCTGCTTTGACATAAGACCCTCCAGGTTCTGACATTCTTTGACTTCTGTGGCTCTGCCACATTTACTTCACAGATGCACCTGACATTTACCATCACCAAGTTCTGGGCTAGGCTTGGATTTTCTCATTTCTGGGGGCAGACATGCTACCGTTGTACTGTGAGGTCCTGGATTCTCTCATTTCTAAAACAGCAGTACATGCTCCCTGTCTGCCTGATTCCTTCATCCTCATATTCTTAGAGATAGGAAATGCTTTAGAAAAGCCCCATCACTACAGAAATGCATGTAGAGTTTTGGTAACAATTGAGCCTCTTTGTTTTATTCATTATGCAAAATTCTTTGTCTGCTTTTTCCTTTTGTATTTGACATGTAGCTTGCGAGTTTCCCTACTTCCTACCCAAACAATATCTCTTCCCAACACTCAATAAAACAGCCCAAACCAGACTATTTTCACTTTTCCTTGGCCCTCCCCTAACACATCTTTTCATCCCCATTGGACCTAAAAAACAGAAAAAATTTATTTAAAAAACAGAAAAAATATCACCAACCAGTTTATAAATTCAGGAAAAACTCCATTGTTTTTCTATTCTCGAAGATCAAAGTTCTCAGTATTCTTTTCTGGCAGCATCTTCTCCCTTTCTTGTCATACTTTTCTCCAGAGACCTTTGCCCTTGGAGTCTAAAAGCTATCTGCCCTTGAATTTTTGCTACTCCTAGGACTCATCTGACTATCACCCACAGGCCTTTTCTTAGCTTGAGAAAATTTTAGTTTCAAATAGATCCTTTTCTACTAACACTGGAGGGAAAAAATCCCTCACCTAGCCTAACCCAGAAGAATTGAAAAGCAGACTTTAAAACAGTGTTATAGTAAAAATTCATAACAGTGCTACTTATCATAGCCAAATGGTGGGAACAGCCCCAATGTCCATCAACCGATGGATGGCTAAATAAAATGTGGTGTGTCCAAACCACAAACTATTTATTAGTCAACCATAACAGGGGAAAAATACTGATTCATATCCACACAGCTAAACCTTGAAAACATGGTCCATAAAATAAGCCAGACACCAGAGGGCAAGTGTGATTCTGTTTATAGGAAATGGTCTCAGCAGGCAAATGAACAGAGACAAAAAGAAAATTAGTGGTTGACAAGGTCTAAGAATAGGAGAGAATTCAGAGTGAGTATTGTTGGGATGAAGCTCGTTTGGGGATGACAGATTCTAGAATGAGGTATTTATGATGTTTTCATAGCTTTGTGGATGTACTTTAACCCATCGAATTGTATAGTTTGACAAGACTAAAAGTGCCCAGACACTGTGGTGCATGCCTGTAGCTTTGGCACTTGGGAAGGTGAGGCAGGATGCTGGCAAGTGTGAAACCATTCTGCCCTACATAATGAGACATTTTACCGAAAGAAACAATATTTAAAGTGTTGAACTTCGTGCTATATATATGACATTTTTCTATGTGCATGTGGTTTTTCAAGACAGGGTTTCTCTGTGTAACAGCCTTGGCTGTCCTGAAATTTGCTTTGTAGACCAGGCTGGCCTGGAACTCACAGAGATCTGCCTCCCAAGTGCTAGGATTAAAGTCGTGCACCACCACACCTGACTGTGAACTTTTTTTTAAATGTTATGTGAACTTTAGCTAAGTAATAAGTGGAAGTATGATGGGAGTGAATGTGATCAAAGAACATTGTGTCCAAGTATGAATATGTCCTTGTTAAACTCAGTGCTAGGTACAGTGAATGTTTGTCAATAAAAAAGGAAGAAAGAGTCATTAAAATACTAGCCTATCTTGTGACTCCATTCTTTTAGAGCCATGTGATGGACAGCTAACCTCCTAGGCCAAAATGTTAACAGTGAGAGCATTTCACTATCAGCTCTCCAAGAAACAATTTGAGTACAAAGCCAACAATGCAATTCTATGCCATAATAATAACAATAGTGTTTTGTTAACTGTCTCAGATGTTCCTAATACTGCCAACTTTCTATATTAATGAACTCCATATCTCTGGATTCTACCAATCACAGATGCATAGTAATCTGTTGTTCTCACTTTAGCTACTTTGGAGGTTGAGGCAGAAGCACTCCTGAAACTCAGGAATTCTAAACTAGTCTATGCAACATAGTGAGAAACTACCTTAAAACAATCTAAAAGTGTCTGTATTAACTGTAGGCATGCTTTTTTCCTTTTTGTCTTTCCCTAAGCAGTAAAGTATAGCTATTTGTATATGATTTAGGTTATTGTAAGTAATCTAGCCTAGACTCTATACAAGCACTCCAACATTGTCTACAAATGATCAAGTATTGGTGGAAGATCATAAAACCAACCACATACCCACCTATTCCTCTCTTGGAAGTCAAATATAGCTACAGAATCCTTCTCAATAGCATTCCAAACAAGCAGACTCTGTTTCTATTCTCATCCAGAAAAAAACTGAGACCTCTGACACCATTCATCCTTGATTTGGCTGAACAGCTCTGCCCTGTTTTTCTGACAATCCATCAGGCATGCGTCCTTATTTCTGGTTGGGAAATCCTGTTTTTACTTATGTATGAGTTGTATGAACAAAATGGGGAGCTATTATGGGATGGATTGAAAGGATATGTACCTCATCTTTCAATTTACACCAAATAGCCCAGAGCCAGCTCAGCCTACCAGCCAACCCAGCCCTGGCATCTGTCAGTGTTTAACTTAAACTGCCCACCCCAACTCTCATTTCCTCAAGTGCCACTTTGTAGCAGTGATCTAATCCATATCCCTTAAGTGTGTGTGTGTGTGTGTGTGTGTGTGTGTGTGTGTGTGAGAGAGAGAGAGAGAGAGAGAG